AATGAATTTGTATTTATGGTGAATACTGAGCACTGAGGCAGCAATCAGTATGGGGGAATTGTCAAAATTTTATTGTTCCGTGGAAAACTCAATTTCTTTTTTATTTTGCCAAAAGGGGGAAAAACGTTACTGAGAATGCATTAAGAAAAAAGTAGTTTTATTCTTTAAAGTCCTTAAGATTTCCGAAAGAGACCATCAAAACAGTTTTAAAGTGCTCGCTTTAAAGTGCACGTGTACGAGAACAGTTTTAAAATGGAACTTTCTTGATTATGAAATATTTGGATGTCTTTTGCGTCACCACTAGCTGTATTCATGGATTTCCTAGGTACATTAATATTAGTAGGTTCAAGAATAAGATTAGAATGAACACAAATCAAGGTATCAGGAGGAGTCTCAAAAGTTCTAAGCCTCTCCACGCTTCAATTCTTGTTTAGCTTGCAAGCAAGAGTTCAGGCGAGGGACAAAATTCAGACCAGAGTTGGGAGAAAAAGGTGTAAACAGAAAGCGTAAATTTATTGAATGGGGATACTTTGGAAAAGAAATTTAAAGCGCTCTGAGCTAGTCTAAAAGCCCCGGCAAAACATAAAGGCAGACCATTCTGCTAATGGCTGGTCCTCTGTAGATTACGTTTTCTTTTCAGATAAGTGCATTGCAACACCGCAGAGTTCATACTGTACTCTTATCTCAGACCCCAACTTGAGTCTCTTTAGTCATGGTAGGGGTTGTGTGAACTTCCTGTCTTCCCCAGCCATTTCATGATCACCAATATCTTCAGGTCTCATTGAAGAAAATGTGATATATTCTGCCCTTCACCTTCCTTTTGAGGAGGGAGAGGTAGGGCTTTTCTTTCCCCCATTTGTCTTAAGATTCCCCGCAGATTCTTCCATTTTCAGCTCTTTCTCCCTTGCCAGTAAAATACAATGTTTAAACTATTAATGATTAACATTTGACATGTGGCTTTTATTGATAGGATGGGGACAATATGGTGGGACATATGCCTTATCAAGCAGTATCAAATCATTTGTACTTCAAATGGGTAACTCATTCAAAATATTATAGTCTTTCCTTTTGTCCATACAATCCCCGAGATAACAATGATACAGAGGAAATTTTAAAAATATGATGTAAGCCATTTCATTTGTAAAATACAAAATTCATCTTCTTCATTTTACCTGTATTGACAAAAATCAAATATGAGGTAAGAGTACAGAAAAGAAAATCTTTTTAAGATTAGGTAATTGGCTAAATCAAAAGCAAGAATTTCATTATTTTAAAAGGCCCTTTTTTGGGCCTTTTAAACACAGAGTAATGTTTCTTAGCAAATATATTAAGATAAATCATAGCAGTGTTCTTCCTGAGCTTCCATGTGCCAAATTAATCTCATTATGTAGGGCAACCACATTTGATCTCATTTTTACTGTTTAAGGCATTTCAAATCAATATACTGATCAGTACATATTTAAATGTATTTCCAACTTGAGTTTAGGTCAAATTAGTGGGATCAATGATGTATAACTTTATAAAATTCTAGGGAACCGTCCCTGGTTCCTAGATAAAATCCCAACCCTACCTTCAGTGCTGACACTGCATTATTTCTTTGTATACTTAACTCATCTGTTTTCCTTCTACCTTTTGCGATACTACGACGTTACATTCCCAGCACATATCAGACCTTCATTAATATTAAGTAAGTTTGTCTACCACATTCTGTAGTTCATAGGACAGGCCAAAGTAACCAAGAATTACCATATATACTCATGTAAAAGCCGAGTTTATTTCAGCATATTTTTAATGCCATTTTTGTGGTAAAAGTAGGTGCCTTGGCTGATATTCAAGTCGGCTTATACTTGAGTATATACAGTATCTTGCCTAAAATATCACTGATGAGAAGCCCTGATTAAATCCTAAAATTAAACCATAATTAAGACTTGTACTTGTTTCTCCTCCAGTAGAGTGCTAATGAAAGCATAGCTACAATTAATTTGGTGCTTTTTACAAAAAATCGTTTTATTAGGGGCTCATACAACTCATCACAATCCATACATACATCAATTGTGTAAAGCACATTTGTACATTCATTGC